GTGGATTCACATTTGCTTGCACCACTGACATCTGCCGGACAACGTCAAAGTTCGGAGGCGTCACGAGCGTGGCCCGCTCGCGGCTGAGGCGATGTATGGTGCTAACTGGTGGGCGGATAATCGCCTTGTCATCTCCAAGATGAGACTCCATCGTCAACATTTCAGGCGACAGCAAAGAAAACTAACATCGCGTAAGCTCAATACTGTATTTCTTGCTAGGCTGAACTCCGACTGCACATTAGCGGCTGCACGAAGTCAAAACTGAAATAGATGTAAATCCTGTAGGCGCATTCTAATATGGAGACCCATAGACAACTTGTTTATAGGATAGCACAGTCGACTGATGCATGGGAAGGGAAGGAGAGTGTGTCCGACATTGGAGAATCCACCTTCACTGCACATCAACACATTTCTCACTTTAACTAGTATGGCGCTCTAGGAGTCGTGACTTGGAAGGCCGCCAACTGACGCGATACTTCTGTCCTTCTTAGGACTGAGGGTTAGGCTTAAATGGCCCCCTTACTGTGGTGGGATCCTCAACGATGAGGTCCTGGGTTCATTTCTAAATGTGGAGTTTGCGGTACACGTAGGTGATCTATTTATCCTCGTCAGCAACTGCGTCCGAGCTCACCTTCGGTCGCCCTGACATCGTCTTGCCACCGGAGTCCGACGGGTGAGGGAGGAGAGAGTGCGGCGGATGCTGCTGAAGTCTGCCGCACCACAAACGAATTCAAATGCAATTCACGGGGGCTGCACCCACTCCGTGGGCCACACAGCTGACGTCGTCACTCGCGACAGTCGAACTCTCAGTGGCCATGTTGAATTCAGTGTCTCTTTAGCACCCAAGTAATTAACTCTTTTATCTCTGATATTCGAGGCAGTCACGATGAAGGACCACTCCCACTTGTCTTCTAAAATCACGCAATTATCGCAGACACATATTTTTAGCATCCACGAAGTATTTGACCACCTCGTATCCCATCGTAAATACAGACCCTCAGAATCTCTGACATGAACTTAGCTACATTTCCCATAAACGGATGAAATCAGATCAGTTTTGTGGATGTCACGACTGACGGTCAACCTGAACAAAACCCTTCAACCACTCCCAAATTTCCTCATATCAGAGACGTTCAGCAGGACCCAGGACAAAGGTGAGGCGCCAAGCGACAAGGCGGAATGACCCATTGGCACGGCAAGAAACATTCGTAGTCTTTTGCCAGACCTGGTGTGTTAGCGTGCAGAGCTTCAACGTCAGCAAACGAGGAAGATTACTCCGTATGCGGAAGACGAACATGCATCAGCGGTTAGGAGAAATGACGACAAACCTCGAGTAGGGGTCCACTCGACGGAATTTGACCACAACCTCATGTTCGCCAGACCAAAATTTCCGTGCAAGATGGATAGTGTCTGAGTCGCGAGCTGCTTTAAACATACTTCTTTTTTGCCGGCAACCTATCAACAAGCAATGTTGTTCTTCCCCTTTTATGAAGAGAATGCGCTTAGGCGGAGTAAGTAATAGATGTTCTGGCGCATTTCGAATAATTATTATTGACGCAACTGAAAAACTCGCATCTTCCGGTGGGGCCTCGTAACTCAGGTGGCAGAGCGTTGGCCGTACTAAAGTCTTCCCCTTGCTGTCGTGAGTTCGAATCCCACCGATGTGCCGAGTTCTTCACTGTTGGGTCAATAGGAATTATTAAAATTTGTCAAGGTATCCATGAAGTACGTGAGCCGGGTAGTCATCTGGTGGATTCTAGATGGATTACTTAGGAAATCCCGCTTGCGCAGTCAGCTTACTGTATCAGATTTGGCGGATTCCAGACGTTGCAGTAGACTGGGCGGATGACTTAACACAAATGTGATTAAACTCGCGTCTTCCGGTTGGACCTGGTCGCTCAGGTGGTTAGAGCGTTGGCTGTACTAAAGCTTTCCCCTTGCTGTCGTGGGTTCGAAGCCCACGGAGTAATTAATCACGTGGGCAGCATGCAGTTGAACACTAATTCCATTATCTGTTTATTACCACCATATTCGGTTGGCTGATCGTGGCCTCGGATGCGGGAGACCTGGGATTATCACACCCAGCACCAACATTTGCAATACACACTGGGGCCTGTTAGTTTTAGTGCGCTTGTGATTACTTAGCGACTGTACCTCATGAATACTACCCCTAAGGTGTGGCTGCGTTATAACCACTTCTTTCTGTCTCTGGTGATTGGTTCGAGACTGAGTCCGAATAACCGAATGAAGAAAATTCTTTTTTTGCCGGCCGTGTCCTATTATTTTACTAAGTTAGCTGCTACTCACCTTTTTACCCACAATGTCCATATTCGACGTTGCAATATTCTTCGGTAAGTGTCCATCTGGGGTTGAGAGTGAGCTCTTTTGTGTGCAGCTGGCATATAGATGTAAACAACCAGAGTGCATGCCGATTATGGCGACCGGTTGTTCTTCGAATGCTCATCCGCGTCTGACAGAAGGCAAGAGTGTCGTCGCGTGGCACGTTGTTTTCGAATATTAGTTTCGAGCGATTGCAGATAAGCCTATTCGTCAGGTTTGCATTTTAGGGAGACGAGCCGAGTGAATACCTAAAAAGAAGCTTTGACCATGCTCTTTCAAGGACATTCCAATCAGCCAGAGTTCGGATGTTATTCACGACCGACCCCATTTGTAGGGAAAATCTGCCAGCTTACATTGCATTAATGCGCATTTACTTCTTAATGTGGCTCTGTGAATCAGGGTAAATATGTGGAAGATGTCGGTGCCTATCCATGAGGATACGTTAACACCTCGCAGCATGGCTAAGAAACGGCAAAATCTGAGGTGTAAACAGTTACATTCTCGCTTGCGTGGTCATTCATAGCATCGCGTGGTACCCGCAAAGCCTACTGAGTGTTTTACTTGACTCCACCGAATTGTTGAAACCACAAGGACAAAGTCCGCTAGCAGCGGTAGAAGCAACCGTAGGCAGGTTATGCAAGCCGGCCTTTTGCGCACATAAGAATCTTATGAAGGTCCCGCATTTACCACGGCCAAAAACTACTTATATAAATAAATCGTTTTATTTAGTACCCCTAGAGATACTTTCATAGTAACCAGCTAAGTGCAAAATTTTTTGCCCCTTCTTCCCCTTCTTCCTCCTGACACGGCTCTTCATAAACCTCACTAGACAGTATTGTCTTACTTGCTTTATACTGACTGTCTTTAATTATCTTCTCATATTGTCCACCCTCCATCTATGAGAAAAGATGAATGTAGCTCGATTTCTCTAATTACTTACACGTCGTTATTAATGCCAGTGCCATATAAAAGTATTGGCTTAATGAGAATTTATCGGAGGCAAACGCCTGCTTGTTCGATATTCTTTCTGCCTGCAGATAAGTTTCCGTATTTTAAGGGGATTTTCCCATTGAATGAGTCTACACTATCACAGCAACAATGAGCCTTTTTTACTATAGTCTGCTACTAGCGTGTCCAACTCAAATTTAACCTTCGTTCATGTCACCAAATAGTCCATTTTAAGGCCCGCAAAATTGTCTTCTTGTTTTCATTTTTGTCTATTTTCAATGTGGTCCCCTTAATTAACGTTGTTTTTATTAACTCCCGTTAAATGGCGTAAAGATCATGCAGGTTTTGCTGGTGGTTTAGATGTCTTTTTGCCACCCATTCTAGTAAGGCATTTGAACCTCACTTTTATTATGTTACAGGGAATGATTAGCCATTCTGATTAGTCACATTAATTGTATTTTGCGCTTTATAAAATGTGATTTTCTCCTTTCCACCTATTTCTATTAACCTTAACTTTAAATATGCCAGTTCCTTAATGCAATGATTTGGAGCCGCCTAAAAGTAATCAGTTATAGATAAGTTTTATATAATTTCCCGGTAACATGCGTTCAATACAAAGATATACACGTCTGATACATATATGTAACAATGCTTCGAGGATATGATGAAAATACTCGATTCTAACCGAAATAGAAAAGCGGCTAAAAACAAATGCTCTTTCGTTTCTAGGCAAAATACATCGTTTGGAATGTCCGGTCTATGAGAGCTCCATCACATAGTATATGGAAATTATATAGAAGCACTCTGATATAGTCGGAGAAAATTAACCAACATATCTCTGTTTCTTGAGAAAATGATAAATTTTCTTGTTACAGAAGCCCTTCGGATGCATTGCTGTTGTGGATCTGTGACTATCAGCGAAATATAACTGTGATTAAACTGGCTGGGTTACCAACCAGGTACTAAAATTGGATATTTACGAAGCAAAAATTGCCCCTGCTGTCGTTCCGTCGATTTTTTATAGAGAATCGCAGGAAGAAACTGGAGGAAAACTGTCTGTTTTAACTAGGGCATGCAGCTTTACATCGTAGAACGCAGATATTTCAATCGAGTAACTGTCAAATTCCTGTTGATCCTCTATTGCGACTACATTGTATATGCCACGGGGGCATGGTTCCTCAATCTGAAACGACTTCCATTTTTTTCAGGTCTCGCTGATGTTTCGCCACCCTCGAAATTGCTGCCTAAGATAATCAGATCGCTGGGACTAAACATACGATTAGTGGTCTTGCAGTAGCAATACGTGCAGCTAATCTGTTATTTCTAAAGCAGCTAAGTGTATTTTGGGTTAGAGGGGGTGGCCGGGTTGTGATGCGCTGTTGATTATCTTTCGTTAATTTAAAAAACTTCAGCAGCAATATCTAGTATAGAGGTCAGTTGACTACTGATTATTATTTGCATTTTACGTAAGGAGAATAATTTCGATGGAGAGCAGGTCCTGCAAACTATAGAGTATTATCGGGGGTGCAGTACCATAGGCATTCAGCTCACTCCTTCTTGTTCCGCTAAAACAGCCAAAGAATTCTATCCTTTCAATTTCAAAAACTGCAAATCAAATACGCTCTAATTCTTTAAGAAACATACTGAAGGAATATTAGCATCCAGTAAGTCGCAGTTTTTATTTCAAACGAAGATTTTATATGCAGGATGTTTTACTGGAGCTTGGAAATAGCGTCGCTTATCCACTGCCTGACGGATGAGACTGAGGTACATAAAGCACGGTCTCCAACGCAGTCATCATCTCCGGTACCGATTACAGCATATAAAAACCAGCGTTTTTCGTCTTTTGGAAGACAGTATAGACCACCTCCACTGTCACCGTGGCAAGGAGTCTAAAAAAAGGTTTAGCCGAAGTTGAAGTTGTAAACTGTGCAAAATCATAATAAAAACCAGGAGAAGAACGGTGAGCTATTCTGATTTCTGACGCTTCAGGCGGTACATAATATCCAGAGAAGTTGATAATCCCACCGCTCATCTAGAACCGGTGTCACACTGAGAATTTGCGAATACCGAAGTAAGGTGATATTTAGTGTTTGACAAGACATACACGTGCCATAAAATCATGTTACGTTGTTAAACAGAATTTCAAATGGGTTTATTTCCTCTACTGACTAGAAAACTTCCGAATACAATAAGACAAGTTTAGATGTTGCGTTGAGTTTACACAGTAACCTGTCAAAAGGTTAAAACTATTAGACAAGGATTACCAACTTCAGTGTGCGTGCCAAATTAGCTTCTTTCCATTTTATTCCATTGTAGGAGCTGCCTCTAATTGTTTTGCATGCGCATGTTTTAAGTGTTGAACTCAAAATATATGTCCTAATGCGAGTCAATAAATATATTTCAAGGTCTTCCACAGACCATAAGCCCCAGATAAGGTCGGTTTCTCGGTATTAGACGACTACTCTGGACTATATTTATTAACTCGTCAACCAACCTTGACCCCAGCAAATCGTCCTTCCGGATGTTCTAAGCACTTTGAACCAACAAGCAATGTTTAAATAATATAAATTCAAAAGGATCTGTCAGCCAAAATTGTTAAAGATTGCAGTCCGAGACGAATGTTATTAGATGACTGTTTCGAATACAAAATCTATTTGAAACAAATGACGTGTGCATGGCAGCAAAATGTATTACTAGTTGATCTTTCATTCGAAACATACCCTTGCTTCTGTTTCCACGCAAACTGTCTTATCCTTTTGGACTGGATAGCTTACTCGAAGACATTCCTCGTAAGAGGTTAGAGTTACTTCTGCTTCTCTGAGTATCCTAGGATTTTTCCACTCGTTAACCGATCCTTTTCTTAGAACTGCACCCCAACCAGCGTAAAAGCAGTAGTGACCATTATTTAGTACCATCTCATCCCGAGAAACGCAGATAGGCCTTGCTTCGGGAGCTGCGGACGAAAACGAGGAATGCCTAGAGACATTATTCGTTACATTTTTTGCGAAACAAAGATTAGCTGAGAAAGTACTACAAAAAAATTAGAAACCTCGAAATTTGGATTTCAAACGTCGCCTCCTATTTTAGTTTACACTAATTACGGCTGTATTTTCCAATACGTTCAAAACTCTGTGTCTTCCAGTCAATGTGCTTCCACGTGAAAATAAAGGTATATCTCCGTATACCTTCGTCTTGCTGCATGGATCTTGGGGAATGCGACGTTAACGTTTTTGAAGATGCAATAAAATACGACGGGCTAAATGAATTTATAATAATCGAGTTGATAAGAAGGATATCCTAACTACATGAAAGAGTTCCACACTGTGAGCAATGAGTGAACCGGAAGTGGTAAAAGCAGACATAATTTCCGGTGGAAACAAAGTTTCCGCGAAACCAAGTGGAATGCAACTTAAGTTATAAATAGGCACTTTTGGCACAATATATAATCTGTATGGTGTTGAATGACGATATTTTGCCGAGATTTATTAAAAATCGGCTTTCCTCTGCATAATTATACAAACCCAAAAATATGTGCACCAATACCTGTAGTAAAAGGTTCATTGAGCAGCAAAATAGCGACGTCATATCCATGATTTTCATATCGTACTTGAAAATTGGGGTGCACCTGTACCATGTCCGCCCGACGCGTTTGCTTTGGTGGTCCAGATGTGGTAAATTTATGATCCCCAATGTGTACGGTAAGTATGTCATCAGTACGTTCCGTAATATTGACGCTTTTACCAACAGGCATTTCTTCACAGGCAAATAACATCTTGATGCAACGGGCTGCGGTGACAATCACCCTGCTACTTAAAATAGTTCCTCCGCAGAACGGATGTCGACCCCTTTTCTCGGACCACAATCCCACCTTAAATAAATATGAAGACAAAGAAGTCATATTCGGTATAACAAAGTTAATTTTTCGGTGCTATTGAAAGATGGTTCATGTATATTATCTAAAATGGGAGTTGACGAGTTTCGTACCTTAATTTACTTAGACGATATGCCTTTTGTCTTACCGAATAAACTTATAAGCTTAAATATTTTAGACGCATCTCTAGATGGGAGGGGTCATTTTGTATTGACGGGTAGTTTTATGTATTCCAGACCCTACTTTTAAAGGCTCGATTTTAGAAGTACGTGACGTTGATGAAAATGATTCTTTTTAAGGGTAGATCAGATAAGCATGTCTAGAATTCCAAAAACCTAGTTACTCTATACTGCATAAGTAGGCAAAACAAGACTGAAAACCATGGCGAAATTAGCTTCAGGTTCGGCCTAAATTTCTTAATCAAAATTTGATGACATTTTGATACCAGTTTCTTAAGTTTATGTCGCAGATGCTTTAAATTTATTTCTCGGAAAGCTATAAGGAGAACTATCAGCGAATAACGCTTGAGACGTATTGAAGTTTAATATTAATAGTGCATTAGGTCAACAGGCTCATTAAATTTTATAAATAGTACTGCCAATTACGGGTCTTTCTACAGTTAGGAAGTACCAGACAGATCATTTTATTCAAAATATCTATAACAAGCTGGTGAAAAGTAGGAAGCGGCTAATTGCAACTTGCATGTTATTTTTCTCTCTCCTGGTTCAAACATGCTTCCTTCAACTACTTTAATTTTGCTACATCCGTATGAAATAATATTCGCCCACATTGCACATAGTATAATTCTCCCCATAACAACGAGAGTTAAACGTGCTTTACATTTACATCATACATCGTTATGCACCAAATCTGTAGCCAACGGAAGGTATATATTTTTGTGCAGTGTAATATCTCAACAACAGACAGATCTTTTTAACTTGACTAGCACACTATATTCAGTAATTAAACATTTCAAAGGAAACTATCTCAACTTTATAGGGAAGTTCTTAACGCTACGATTCGGAATTACCAGCCACGGCCAGCTATGTGGAGTCGCCTGGGGCTTTGAGTACGTTGCTTCTTCCTTCCAGACTGAACGGACAGACCGTCTTCCGCATTTTTCAGGAAGATTTTTAAGTGTCTCGATACCTATGATCAAGAGTTTGTGGGGAAATAAATAATAGTGAAGGAGGTGTATCCAAAATCAAACGGGATCAAGCATGCAAAAAGAAGTAGGGCAATGCATTGACCTGAAGGGAGGTTAGAATAAGACGTCTAGCTATTGTTAAAAAGGTACATACATTGAACTATGTTTGCTGACACGAAAAATGCCAGAAATAATTTGAAAATTAGTCCCATTTTAAGCCAGTGAACCTCCCACATCGGCGTTCATTTATAGGAGAACATCAGCTGAGAGAAAACACTCTGGGGTGGAAAACAGTGCGACCAATCAAAGCGAACGCGCTGCGCACTTGCAAGTAAGGTTCGTCTGCCTTTTTGCAGCTAAGAAGGATCAAGCAATTGATTGTTTAAGGATAACTTCCGTATGCATGTACGACGACTTGAGGAAACTCGTAATTTAACCTTGGAATTTATGCCCTAGTAATACCGTAACATTCGGAAATTTGTGAATTTCGAAGCATTTCCTTGTACAGTTAAATCCGGCATTAGCTTTCCGGCGGTGGTGATCAAGCTACATCTTAAAGTAATTCAAGGTTTTCAACGTTTCTAAGCGATTTCCAAACCTTATGGGTTAAAATAAACTGCGCAACACTAATGCCTGTACCACTTGTATATGGAACGGAGATTTACTCATCAGGAAAAGTCTCAAATGGTTAATGCTGGTTAAGTGAAGGCTATCTATCAACAAATGCACTTTGGTCGTCAGATATTCAGGCTTGCAATAGAACATAGCTCGTACAAGCCTAGCCAGGCATCCTCTTTAAGTAGTCTAAATCTAAATCAGACGATTGGGATTATACTGAGGTCATTATTCGCAGTGTTTGCTTCCTTTACCTTTATTCTTTTTGAACTGGGTATCTTAGCAAAGTGCAATTTTTGAATGTACAATGAGACTGTAATTCCTTTCTAGAGTTAGGTCATTTCCTCACTTACACTAGCACGGTTAACCGTTGACGTTATCATTTCAAGTTCAAAGTACATTGGAAATGTTTGATTTCTAAGGGTAACCTACGCCATATGGTCTAATACACGAAATAAGTGGAGATTCTAAATTATAAGAATGTTCAAAGACTACGTTTCTTTGATTTTTCTGGTTAATGGCAATTAAGAAAGTAGTTAATATGGAAAAACGAAGTTATATTACACCCTCACGCATTCTAGTCCCTCCTCCTCTGCTTTTGGTAAAAATGAGTTCTATTTGTAATTTTTGCAGCGTCGAATTTTAGAAAGACAAATATTACAACGAAATCAGAAACTATGGTCGTCGTTAAATTTCACAGAGACTCATTCGGATCCGAATGATCAACGCATGCGACGACGTTTATTGTGTTCCCTACGGAGTGGACGCCAGCGATGACTTATGCACGCATTATTTCCTAGTGCGGCAGATTTGCGCAGCATTGACCACGCCCTCTACTTCCTCAATCACCTGACATCAATGGCAGAACGAAAGAAGGCGGGCTGTGGCGCAGTGGCTGACAAAGAAGAACAGCCCGTCCACGTAGGCCATACACAATCTGGTCCACACGGCATTATCAGTTTTTCACAGAAATAAGGACGGCACTGCTCCCACCTACATGAATGTTTCGTGGAGACCATACTTGTGGCAGTTCGCGTCTCCTCGCCATTGAACCATAATCTCAGTCCTCCAGCTAGCCATCCCACATACACTCAGAGTGCGGACCGAGCGAACCGAGTTGTCTAGTCAGTTGGCAGCTTTGAAAGCCACCATTTTAGTGCATCCTGATAAATTCAGGCGTGTCATGTAGTGCGGAATGCGTTGGTGTGCGGTGGGGAGGGATTCCTCGGTGTCGATTGCTCACTATCGTCTATCTCCCCTGCACTAGTCCAGTGACTGAGCCCGTCAACCAGCTGGTGAGGAAATTGGACTCAGTGACCCAGTAGCCCATTTCCGTATGCCACACACTACCTGGCAAGCAGCTCCTGTAATAGGATACACCATAAACGGGCTTCCCAATCACGTGAGATACGCATGTTCTGACCTGTGCCTCTGCGACCGCCGTATCGGCAACAGTGAGGTGTTTGCTGCTGGAGGGATGTTTGATGTTAGGGGAGGTGATGTGTGTATTTTGGAGTATGCTCACTTGCTGCCGCAGAAAGTGATGTTTGATGTGTCAGGGTATAATGATGCGATTTAAACTGCGGTTTTTTTCTCTAGACCTTCATAAAAGTACATATGGCTGGGTAGGCATACAAGAGGATTGAATATCCTTGGACGACGTCGACTGGTGAGACCGGTAAGATATAACTATCCGAAGGCAGTTCGCTGTTAAATAGGATACCATGAACATAGTGGTTCTTAAAAAAATTTGACTTATTGAGAGACTTACTCTGAATTGCTATACCGTGTCATAGAGCGCAAACTATTATAGACTTTTAGAAGCGATTGTGAATCTTCGGCTCCTTACCCAAACTGTATTGTGCGGTCTACATCGTCATGGATCTCAGTGAAGCGTGAGAAATTCATAAATTTGGTCTATAAAGAAGTTCCCAATCTTCAGCCTGCAACCTGTAATAGAATGCCATGGAACGAAGGGAATCTTGTTTAGGTAATTTTCCTTCTTCCACTACCTTACAAGCAGTACTCCTTTTCTGTATATTTCCTCACGCTCTTTCCTCTTATTACTCTCCAAAAGTTAGCACAGCAATTAAGTCCCCCATTCCTCACAGTGAAATAAGTACGGGTGCGTTATAATGGTTGCATTGATTTTGCTCAAGCTATTTTGGAGCAAGTCGGGTCACATGACTCCTTACAATTGCCAATTTTTCTCGATGGGCCGGTAGTACAATTTTGCGGAGTTGTCAACCTGCATATGAGAGTATGTAATGGCTCGGCTTTTGGGGATTTTACTCTGGGATGTAGAATTGTTGAATTCAACAAGAATTTATTTGAAAGGGATGTTTGATCATTTTTTCAATAATACGGTAGATTTCATCAGAAGACTCCATATTATGGATAAATTGACAGAACTCGAGGGCATAACAACCACTAGAATTCGCTGGCAAGACAGAGTCAGTCAGTCGTGTTTGTCGGCATATTTAAATAGCAGGCGTGTTCGAAAAGTAATATGACAGACGGAGACTGGAATGTAGCATAGCCGACATCATCCAGACCTGTTCGACTCCAGGGTCGGAGCACCTGGGATTAGAACACGATCGGGTTTCATAACCTGGTCGATGTACGGACTTACCGCATTGGTTAATATTCCCGATCGCAACCGACAGGATATCAGGTCCGGGTTTTAGTGGTTTGGGCACTCGACGCAGTGACCAATGACCCGTGGTTCGAATCCCAGAGGCTTTAAGGTTGAGGTTGGGTGTGCCTGGCTGACGACGATTGATAAGTCAGAAATGGTCATTTGAGTCTGCCTCATCTTTTTCGGAACACCCTCCAGCACATACTTCTGGTCGCTATACAATTGCCTGCGAGGGTCCAACATTCATCGCCAAGGCACAACTGTACGAGTAGGTTCCCTAAACCGATTGGTGGACTGACTTACAATACAAGAAAGCACTATTTCAACTCATTTTCGCCACACAGTTTACCACTTCCCGCTATGTGTAACACTTAAAATCCTGTGTCTTTAAGACGACTCTCGGAACACATAATGTTCATAGAACAATTGACAAAGCGGACTGATAACAATGGTTTTAAGAGATCACCCCTCCTCTAAACAACTGTTTTCTCGGAAAAGAGTGAATTTGGGCCTTCAAAGCCTTTTTGTTTTCGAAGTGACTACTGTCGCAAGGGTCACTGTCACTGTGTTTCAGGCATTTGTTCCCGTTGGTATGCAAGAAGTAGGACAAGCCTACTAAAAAATTACGGAGTTCAAGCGTCCCCCGTTTGGCCGCCGGAGGTACGCATTGTTCCGTACAGGTCATTGTGATTGATGAAACGTCATAGGTCGACTACGAAGGCTGCCGTATAGCACCGATCCATAGACGCAATGAGAACAGGTGGACAAAACATGGCACATAATAGACATATCCTCGTTCTGAGACGGTGACGCGCAAATTAGTTACCTTGCATGATGATTTGAGTAGTGTAGTCAGAACTAGTACCGAGTCTAGTGGGCGTGTCTGACTCGAAGTACTACATACATGTGTAGCAGCCTTTTCTCTGTCCCCTCGTTCTACTGTTTACGCGCCACGGTTGCGCTCGCTAACCCTCGATTTGCACTCCCGTCCACGCCACACTCCTGATCGATAATTTGTCACTTCCTTCGCGTGGGCTCGGAGCCAATCAACGCAACTCTCTTTCGCTGATTGGTTACAAGTGCACACACACGGGACGCCGCCCTTGCAAACGTGATTTTGAACAGCCAGGACAAAGGCAAGAAGCACACAACAACACCTTTTTGGTGGTAGCGACACACTGAAGGCTCCACAACTGATGCTCTCCAGAACGAACGCTTATCTCTGACACAAGCATACAGCCAACTTACGGCGACCTGCCCTGTGTACAGAATAAGCCCGTTCTCACAACTTACTGGCTTCTGTCATTAGACGGAGCAAAATTATTGTATGTGGTTTAAGTCGATTTCAAGTCCTTGACCACTACACATATCACGGGCGAGTGTCTTCTAGCGGTCTAAATTGTGGAACACATTCATTCCGCTGTACCTTGGAGCCTAAATGACAGCTTTCACCGGTAGTTTCATGGCGGCCAGTAATAAGGCAAAATAAATACCGTCAATGATAAAAAAAATATGGAATAGCCACTTCTAGCCCATTAGCCCACGCTAACCAGCCACACTCCGGATTTCTTGCTCATTTAAAACGAAATCTAACGTTCTTCCATTAATTCCGGGATCCGTTGACTCGGAGGTTTTAATTTTAGATATTAATTAAAGACCGTTCAGCTGTTTGGATCTCATTTATGTTCATGCCTGACGACGACCATCCTAATCTCTCTTATCTTTTTCGGCATTTCTTCCTATATGCATATACGGGGTCTAGCGTGTCAACAGGATTCACCTAGTCGTTGGAGACGTTTAAGTTATCCGAAACAACGCACAGTTAGCATAAACGGTGACCAATGGAAATGGCGCATTAATTCAACGAACACACTGTCGCTTTGCAAAGCACTCTAAGCTTCATATCGTATTATTTACTCCGATTTTATACGAGATCCACTTAACTAAGCTTAATCCCTATCCTCTGAGTTATGAGCAGTTGCGCGGAGACTTGATACAAACTCTCCGTATTGTACGTGGCTTGGACTTCGCCCTCCAGGGAGGCAACTTTTTCCAACCCTCCACAACAACTAATCTCTAGGGACATTCTTTCAAACTACGTGTGCCCCAAGGTAAATTGAATGTGAGAAAGCACTTTTTTCTGCAACCGTGTCGTGGAACCGTGGAATAATCTGCCCGAGACGATTGATATGACTCAATCTGTGAAGACATTTAAATGTCGGCTTGACAGGTACATGCTGCAACAACAAGCGGACTATGTGACTGTAACCATAAAACCAATGACCTGTGTAAATCGCGATCTGCATTCACATAATTCTTTAATTTCTTCACATTGTTGCTTATTATCAAGATCTTTATATGCAGATAGGGAGTTCAAACGTGTAAGCCTACTTCCCGCAAATACACTAAGTGATAAAGGAAATTATATTTTAGTGGTGGCTGTCCCGACATCACTGAGATTCAGCGCTTTGCAGATGTCTAAAATTATTTTATTACCTGACGTAAAGAAACTGCCATATTAGGGGGCCCCTGCAAAGTTCCTGCGAATCCAATGCAACAGGAGCAAACATATGCATAACTACTCTTCCCTCTACCCACTTGGTAGCAAACTATATCTTCTTTAAATTGTCTACTCAGAAAGAGAGTATCTTTCAGTTTTAAAAACTTTCCCGATTATCCAATACTTTTTAGCTCAACTGGCCGTTGCACATCCATTCAGGGTTCCCGAACCACAAGCTGTATAATTTTTGCGCAAAGAAAATCATATATTTCTGTCTGCCATTAGGAACAGAACTTCTAGGGCTCATAATATTGCGAAATGGATATGGACCATACTGTCCACTTTATGAATAGCACTAATAATTGTGCCTGTCCGTTGATGTGCGACTGGACACTTCAGGGTCTTAAAAAGTCTCACAGTTAAAAACCTCAATAAAACCAAGAGATACCTTTCTTTCGAAAACAAAATTTGAAGTGGTCTTAATTTCATACCAACTGCGTATTAAGAAGAAATTTTTTTGCATTTTTTCCATAAGATATATTTAAATTCATGAAGGTATCCAAAAATTAATGGAAAAGGTGCACGCTAAGCAAACAGTCATTTTTTACATGATGTGGTCCAAGAACGCAGCCGATAAAACGCTCGTTCAAAATTCGACATTCTGACATGACCGGAATATGTTGGTAGTATGCGACACGATAATTCATACGACAACTCTCCTTAAGTAGTCATTTCGAATTGAAAATGCCTTTCTGGAATTTCGCTTAACATTTCATGAGATGACACACCTACCGTTTTAAATTAGCTGTGACTGCGGCTGTATTTCTCGCTCGATAGCGGCAATCTTATAAATATCTTCTATGTTTTTCCCAGATGCCTTTAAAATTTTTGGTTTTTAACAGTACTCACTAACTGTAGAGTGTGCTAGCATAGACAACGAAAACTAATTTGGCATGTTCTTGCAGAAATACTAGCAGTGCGCAACAGTTTTAGCCATTGACATAATTCGTACACGTATTCCATCGCATCACTTTAATTCATTTCAAACTAATCCTAAATCCGTAGACGTCGCATTTCAGTGCTCCTCTTAACTCGACACAGTTTCGATTTCCCTAATTTACTCTTTAACGCAGAGCAATCAACCTCCCTTCCTAGATGAAATGTAGGTTTTGTATCACCTACATCGAGGATCTCCCACTTTTTACCCTTCTTTAGCATTTTCATATGGATGTTCATTGTTCCCTTGGTAAAATGACTTAAGAGAAAGATGTATTCGAGTGCATCGTATTCATCTCAGCAGACCTGCCACCAAATTCCACCTTCTGAAAATGAAAGATGTATTCGAGTGCATCGTATTCATCTCAGCAGACCTGCCACCAAATTCCACCTTCTGAAAATCCGTAGCCTTCCAACCTTGATTTTGTTTTACATTCTGAAGGAGATTTGATTACTCCACTTCCTAGAATAAGGAGGCTGGAAACTGATCAAGCACGGAAACTATTTATTTTTCCTTTATCCCGCAGAAGCTCGAAAGTTGGAAAAAATAAATAAGCCCTTTTCCGTGCCTGATCAGTTTCTTACTTCATTATTCATACCTATAACCGGTACCTAAACATCCTTCTCTATTTGTGAAAAGTAAGTATGATCATGTCTCCTAAACAATGCGTGCTGGACACCGGCGGCACGTTCTTAATTATGTATAATCGTTTCTTCCAAAACGTTTTTGAAATTTAGCATTAAGAAAGCTACTTTTAAGCAAATTTGGCTAGATTATGCTTTTGTTAAACGGAATTTTTGAGAATTTTGCGAATAAACGATGAAATAATCATCCATATTTTTATTTCCAATAAAAAAATTAAAAAATACCGTCTGTTTCATTCAAAGAGATGGAGTTGAAGTTTATCAGTAAGCATGCGTACTAACCAATATTAAAAATGTCATGCGGTCCCTATTCAGACATATTCCTCCTTCGGCTCAAAACAGGTTTATTTAATTTTCAGAGAAGTATTTTCTGAAAGCCATTGGAGAAATGAAGTCAATTTCGTGGTGACTGCCCATTTTGCGATGCACTTTTCGTCACCGTTGCTCAAGACGCCATTTAAATACCAGCGTTTTTCCTCCTTGGGACGACAAAAAAGTCCACCACCAGCATCTCCGTGGCAAGGGCTCTGAAATGAAGATTAACAGTTGCTGTATCTACTCGTATCCGACAAATGTTAAATGTACAATAGACAGCAAACCTGCACCCTCAGACCTGCCGCACACACCTCAAAATTATGTGGATACACCGATTGCGAAAAAAATTAACTTCCCTCATCTTTCAACTCCGGAAAAAAAACTCAATGTAGTTTGAACTACTTTTCTGCTGGAACTGCGAGACAAGTCTCATAAGGAAAATGTTTCTGGTCACATTGCACAAGCGGCATAGTACATTGTTGATTTATGTAACCTTTGTATTTTAAGGCATATTAAAAAATTACGAAGCTCTCAAACGTCCCGGTAACCAAAAGCGACACGGATATTTTCACCAGCTGCTTCAACCCTCCCAAGCTAAATGGACTTATGTTTCCTCTACATGTTTGATTTTCTGAGTGAACCATTTTTAACTTCCACATAGAAAACCTAGCAATTTAAAGGGGTAAAGAACCGACTAAAACGATTCCAACAAGAAATAGACCAATGCCAGTCATGGAATCATCACGCATTCTAAAATTCTTCAAGCCCTCTAAACACTCCAACTTCTTATTCTTAATTATTTAACATTCAAAAATAACACTTTTTTATTGGTAGAGACCATATTCCTCAACTTTCGGCGTTATCGTGTTTTTCTATGTTTTTTTTAAATTCAAAAATCAGTTTTTTCGTGAAGCATCTATGGCTTACCCTTGCTTCAACTTCAATGCAACTGTTTTTATCCTCGCTGATTGGAAACGTCGATGCCGTGCATTTCTCGTGTCCAGCAATAGAAACTTCGGCCTCTCTGAGTACTCTCGGATTCTTCCATTCCTTAACAGTACCTCGCCTCAAGACTGCACCCCATCCGGCATAATAGCAAACATCTTTTGATTGCAACTTTAGTTCTGCACTTGGAACGCAAATGTAATCCACCGTCTCGGCTATTAGAGGCAAAAACAGGAAAAATATATGCAGAACCTTGAAGCAACTGCATAAGACCAACTGGAGAAAATAATCTTTTATGCCAATTTCTCGATTTCATTGAAAATAAAACGAAAAATTTGTTTGATTTCTACTAGATGTGTCCGATTACTATCCCCTGAAACCACTGTAGTCCCTATCTGCAGGAATGCTGCTAGATTCAGTGATATAGGAATGCCAGCTGGGTTTCGTTAAGACTGGGACCTGAAAGGTGCCTGTTTGTCACGGATGCAGCTAGTCCCCAAACATATGTTCCATTTCAGAATGAAAGTGTGTTTGTTAGCCTTTATTCACTCAACTGTCCAACAGTTTCGTGAGCGACAAGTTGGAGAAGCCATATGTGATAATGAGTTATGGGGACACTTGGTATCACGATTTTGGAATAAATTTAGATTAAATAAAGCATCTATCTTTACTCACTATAGATGACTCATGAACATGTAGTAGTTCCAAATAATGCTTTCATAAGTACCACAGCTTTGAACATAATTAGGAAATGACAGTATAACGGAATGACGGTGAGAATTGAAGCTGAGCATCATGAACGTTATTTTAATTGGAAGAAAACATGACGTTGTCTACTTTGATATTAGTGCTGTTTCGTTTCTTAAAATTTCCAGGTAAGAATATGTACAGATATAATTGCAAAAATTGTCAAAAGCTCACTGACTAACATATTACCTGCGTTACGCTTCTGATTTCACCGGGCACAAGGTGAAAACTTTTAGAATACTATTAGATTGTAGGACTATTGATCTTCCAAATAACCCGTGGCTCTTATTTTCAGGGGTGTCGTTATCTTCAATGAACTTAGGAATGCCCGCTAACTTTTGATAATATAAGATTTCGAACGGATTTTTGTGGAATAAACATCAACTTTAACGTCCAGCGCATATAAACCTCTTCATATAGAACCGCCACATCTGCAGTAAACTCTAGAACATATAATAGTTTCGAAAGGAGAGTATTTCGGTTCACTTTTGTCGAATTAGTCATACAATCAAGGCTTTTTCGGATTTGCCTGTTAAAATATCACAATCTTCTACTACTACTGACCAAATTATTCTCCTTAGGTATAGGAAAACCAAAATTTAGAATTTCCTCAAGAGCTTAGCTCTACCAGTTTGACTACAGTTGTGTGCCTACCACCTAAAAATCCGTTATTCTCAGCAAAGTCACCAGCTATTTAATCAAAAATCGGAAAAAGTAATGTTTTATCATACTTCTTTTAGCTTTTTCAGAAAGCTGCAGTAGGGCCACGTCTGCACTAGCACTTCCCGATTCATTTTTGAACGTTGGATGTATCTGAACAAGTTCTATTTTTAGGGACTGGAGTGATGAATTAGGATTGGTAAATGTGTGTTCGCCAAGATGAGCAAGGAGTGTGTCTCCGGTGACAGTCGTAATATTAAATGTCTTCCCAGCAGGCATGTCGTCACACGTAATGAGTGATCGAATACAGCGGGCTGATGTAAGTACCAGCTTATCACTAATTAGTGTTCCTCCGCAAAACGGATGCTGGCCTCTGTTGCCGGACCACAGTCCTACCTAAAAGATAATAAGCAATTAAAAGTTTAAGTGAAACAAAACGACTGCGATGCTACAACGTTGAAGGTATATGTTAGTGTTCTAATCATAGATCGTGGATACTCCATTATTTGTTAAGGTTTCGCTTTGCAAAATATAGCATCAGAGAGCAGATTAAAAACGCGCAAATACTATGAATAGAGGTCACAAAACTATTAGCTGAAATCTGCAAGTGTGCCTCCTTTCATAATGTAGCAACTAACTGGCATTTCATGGGGATAGGAATAATACGTAGATGTGTTAATTATTTCTGGAGAAATGGTAGACACGGACATTTTGACAAGAAGATTCTCCACTTGTCCGTCCGTATTCACTCTCGAGCCTGTCATCGGAGACAGCACCGGTCAGCAGTGGTGGACGGACAGGAAGTGCTACGCTCATAATCACAAGCCGATTACAACTGGTAGCGTTCAGCATTTATTACATATTGTCGCGCTCTGTGTGGCACTGGCTGCATCATTCCTTTCCGGGTAGTTAGAAACTGCGATTTCCGCGCCGCTTTTGGTGATAATTGCTCGACAATTTGGCCTACTGGTACCGTCGATGGTAGTAATATTGTTTACTTGCGCACTACCCACGCAATTATGCATTCAAAAGGCAAGTTGGCGAACATACGTCTGCTTTCGACAAATTCACTTCAGACCTGTACATTTATATGGCTATTGAAGTAATGAATAAATAGATACGAGCAAGTAGATAATTATGCTGTAGCTCGGGTTTGGAGAGGGGAGGGGAGGGGAAAGTGAAAAACCAAAAGTTCGGTCAGCGCCAGAGAGAAGGTGGGTCCCCCAGGAAGGTAATTATATTCGGATGGCTAATTTAGTGGCTTTGAAACATGACAGCCGTGGGACCTGTATGAAGTTCTTCTGTGCTCATAGGACCGGTTCGCGTAGCCTGATTGCAGCCGCCTCTGTCGTAGCCAACAGCCGCTGCCCCAGTAGTTTTGGATAGCTTGACGGGACCTTGTAACTCACTCTGAAGGTGTCTCTGGCGTCTACACGGTGGTCTGTCTACCATGTGCGCGAGGACCGAGCTGTTGTTGTTCTTTATTTGAGCCTTTCCTAACCATGCTGGAAGATGCTCTTTTATTCTTTTGGACAAACGCCGGCTCGTAAGATCAATATATTCTGTCCCACAGCAGCAGGTGAAGGACCAAATACACTTAAGGGTGGTCTGAGCAGGTAGTCTGTCCTTGACCTGGCCGTATAGGATGGGACTATTGGAGAACAGTACACGGGTTTCAGCTGCTGGAATGGTCTGTGATACACCTTGAGTAAGGCGTCTTCTTAAAAGTTCACTTGGTGTATCCCTTTGAAGTGGGACCCTGATGAAGAGCCTTTTCTTTCCTACCGTCAGTATCGGTGGCTTTGGTGGTCTTTCGGTCATGTTTTCATCAATGTATCGATCAGGATACCCGTTTTGACGAAAAAGGCTTTCGACGATTTTAAGCTCTTTCTCGCCGCCGTCAGCTGAGCAGATTCTTCCCACTCTTTCTGTCAAACAGCGGACTAAATTACGTTTAAAGTTTAGCGGTACGAAACTCCCAAAATGGGTGTATTGCCCGGACCACGTTTTCTTACGATAAGCGCTACGTCGAATGTTGCCGTCAGGCATTCTACTCAGAAGCACATCCAGAAATGGAAGTGAACCGGACTGTTCTTCCAGAGTTAATTTGATTGCTGGGTGCGCCTGATTTATATCACCCAGTAGAATTGAGCTGTCTCTTTGGTTCGGTGCAATTGCGAATATATCATCCACGTATCGTCCATTTTATTTCAGACTGTTGATCTGGTGACGTAACTACAAAGCCTCTAACTTGCGCATGAATATCTTCGCCAGAAGCGGGGCAAGGGGCGAGCCCATATCTACGCCGTCCATCTGTCTATATAGATTGTTGTCAAATAGGAGCTGCACGTTCAAGGTACAGCTGAAGTCCGCCTGAAGTCCTTTCAAACAGTCAGTCAGTTGTGCTATCAATGCCAGAATAATCGTCATAATTATCGGGACTTGCTGACGAAGTCACACGTGGAGAAGTTAGGGCAACTCTGTCAGAACAAAGACCCCCTAATAACTAGATCAGATAAGGGAACTGGCGTTATTTTGATGGACAGGGTGGACTACATTACAAAAATACAGGCAATTCTGTCGGATCAGTAAAAGTTTAGAGAGACCGAAAGGGAGAAGGATCGTACAGATGAGATTGAAGCACAAATGACTGGCTGGTTGAAAAGACTTCAAGCGGATGGCTGCATAAGCGAACCCGACACAGAGCGCCTCCGACCCGTCGGCACGCATATACCTCGGTTATATGGCTTGTCGAATATCCACAAAAATGGCACATCGGTATGTCCAATCCTCGATATGAGGAACACGCCGTATCATGCAATAGCGAAATGGCTAGCGGCAACAAGTGAACTCGCATTTTCGGAATTTTAAGGAATTGCGTAAGAAGGTGCTGTCTGCGTTTCTCGTTTCTTGCAGCATTTTGCAAGCTGGGTAGCGCATTATACAGTGTCCATGTGTCACTTACATTTCTCTCAGAAAATATCCTGATCCTATTTACAGTTATATCCCAAGTCAGATACTTGAAGTGGCTGAAGCAGAACAATATGAAAATTACAGGACATTTCAATAATCCCAGGCAAGTATTTCCGTGTATCTACTCGTTTAAACACTAAGAGACACTTAAGGAAGGCTTTCTATTCCTAAGTTTTAGCGTACAAATTTTTTCGCTGAGTGGTTTACGAGGCAGGCAGCGTGTGTTTACGTTCAAAATTATTCTCGGTTTACGTTTGTGGGATAGTACAATACAGATGATCATTTTTAATTACCTGTCATTAACCAAATAATAAAATCAAATAATTTTTTTACACCCTTTCTTATTTTTGTATCGTAAGCATCAGCGATGGACTCGCCGGTTAGTTGATAATAATCGGTCTTTGGAACTCACAGCTAATCACAAATTTTAACGAGACAAAACATATGCTGTGAAAATATCGCAATGGATTTACAAGCCAGGGCCAACTGTGTGCGGTTGCTTGTGTTTTTGAGTACATGGCCTCTTCCTTCCACAGTCGAGGTACTTTAGGGGTTCCACAATCTGCCGGGAATCCTTTCAACGTAGAAATACCTGATGCAAATGATACAATTATCTTGTCAAAACAAAGTGAAATTTTTTCTTTGCTTGCAAAATATAATGCAATTTCACATAAAGGGAATGTCGTATAAAACTGTTAAAGCATTTCATACAAGCAAACCTACATGTGCCTGTATTCGATAGCAACAGACAAGTTATCATCGACAGGAGGAACGGTTTCATCTTCTGCAAAAACTTATTGGAAAACATTCAGACTACCTGTAAATAGTAAGCGCGAAAGTTCCTAGAGCCAATCACAAATAATCATGCGTGGTTACTTTTCCGCGGCTACTTTAAGATGCAGTCTGGAACTTTCACTCAAAGATAAAGACAAGCGGTGTTTCTTACCATCGATCGTGTCATGCCCAATCCCCTTTCAGGAAGCTGTGGCTACAGCGTAGAACAAACATTAATGTTTTTAAGCATGCGCCTCAAGACTCCTGCAAACTTTAACGGGAGCCAATAGAGTGCTCTCTTTTGGAAAAACCTAATCATGTTATTAGTTGCGACAAACCGGGAAACTAATCCACCACGCATTACCTTTAAAATGTGAATCTTCGAGTCTAATTGTGGCAGCCGTTTTTGACTTTGTGTCTCCAGACAAGTTATCTAGAAGGACATGTTTTGAATTGTAAACGACTACAAACAGACCGTCAGCAAATGATAAATATTTGTCCACGTCAGTTTCAAATACTGTCCATACATATAGTGAATATAATTGTTTTCAACAATTTTATAAAAACATGCCCTTCCGTTTCATGATTTAAGACCCATCTTAATGATTTTTATGGGCTGTTTTACATACAATGACGGCAAATCGTGAAACACATAATTTACTAGAAGATACTGGCAAGGACATATGTAACCTTGCGAGCAACAACAAGAACGATGGCAATGACCGAAGCCCATCGTACTTGTGCCAAAAATTATCTGACATATGCCTTCTTTTGGTAGATTGCAGTTGGTAGCCAGACTTTATACGTTGATACTGTCGACGTACTTACTTGTTATCAGTGCGTGTGTTTACCTTGCCTAGGGAACTTGTTATCAGTCAGTGTGCTTCTAATGAGTTAGTGAGGTCGTCCGTTTCTGTCAGGCTGTTGGGTTTAGTGAGGTTAAGGGTTAGGCGTAGGTTAGGTTTTAGGATTAGGGTTTGCGTTTTAGGGTCAGGTTTCAGTGTAAGGGTTAGGGTTTAGGTTTACGATTACGGTTTGGCTTTGGCGTTCAACTTTAGGTTTAGGGTTAGAACATTTGGCTTCCGTTTTACGGTTGAGGTTAGGATTGGGGTTCCGGTTTATAGTTTCCGATTTTCGGGTTAGGGTTAGGATTCAAGGTTAGGTTTGCGGTTTAGGGTTAGGGTTAGAGTTTACGATTAGGTTTCAATATTACGGTTGCGGTTAGGTTTTAGAGTTTGGGCTATGCTTATGGTTTACGTTTAGGTTTCAACTTTCGGTTAGGGTTAGGGTTAAGGTTCCCGTTAGGGCTACAATTAAGATTAGGGTTAGGGGTAGGCATTAGACAGGGACCTTCCCACTCGCTTTCCCATTCCTGCCTATCAACTGCGATCTAACCCTTCTTTTTAGACGGGTGATTTAAAAAGCATTCTACCCTTAATAAACAGGGACTTTTCAATTCTGAAATATATCCGAATCAGATGATAAGCCCTGAAATTTCGAAGTTGAGTCAACGCTTGCTGCTCACCAGTGAGTGTTGGCAATCCAGCCTGAATATTCATGGGCGCCAAAGGTCTAAAGGGGCCCTAAGCATAGCGATGCATTAAAAGACGCCATCATTCGCCAGCCTCCGAAATGCCGCGAAAATGACCTTTAGTCCGCAAATCCAGTTGTGTGCAAGTTTTCTACAAAATCTAAAACAGCGACGAAGGCGACCCACCGTCCCAGTGATCGGGGCGCTCAGGAAAATAAAGCCGACGCGTTTCCGCTGCAGCAACTGAAGTCAGGGGAGGGTTTTCGCATCGGCTGTCGTCTGTTCTTACTACTGAGCATCTTCGTTTATTACCTTCAATAATAAACGTTTGTCCACGTTCAGAGGATATAAGTGGAATGACTCCTGAAATCGCTTTTCCGTAATTATGTCTAGGAACGCATAATTTCGATTTCTGTCCCATGGCGGCAACATGCAAATGGAAAATTTTGTAGGACTGACTCAAATTACCCTCTGAACAGGACACGAGAAAAGGGTCCGCCTGCAACACGGGTGACTTTGAGCAAACTTCCAGCGAAATCAAGGTTAGGTTATGGACTAGGTTTAGAGCTAGATTTGAAGTTGACGGTAAAGAAAGGCAGGAGCAAGCTACGGATTAAGGCATGGGTTCGTGTTAACTGCAGAGGTAAGGTCTAGGGAAGAGTTAGGAACCAGATAAGGGGAACGGTTTGTTTTTATACCAAGGTTATTTTTGGGGTTAGGATATGGAAATATTTAGCGCCTTCTGGAACTATGCGCAGGTTGACCTTTATTACTTGGGTTGGGCGTACCTGATCCCATGCCCTGTTTAGGAGATCGCATAAGTCAGTCCTACCGGAATTTGGAAAAATTCATTTTCCCCAGAAATCAAGTGTTCACCTTGATGACATTACAAGGAGCTTTTTGCAATAGAGATAAGCACTTGGAAAAAAGCTGTCTGACTGCTGCGAACTGGACTCATTTTAGCAGGAACGACCTGGCGGGAGATTGTCGGTTGTCTACTTTCAGTTTTCAGGCCAGTGTCTATCTTTCTTCCTAGCTTTGAATGAAAGTCTTTTTCTTGTACTGCTAGTGGTGAAACACATGACTCGCCACAGCCCTCAAGCAATATATCTCGGTAACGGTAGGGTGAAGGACCCCAAATAGTTGCTGCACACAAAAACGTGCTAATATGCTTGCCTTAACAGGTTTTCGTTATTACTTTACACACTTCGGTTTCGCCCTTCTCCTTTGGTTTGTTTACCGGTCTCCGCCCGGCCGCCCGCCCTCCCAGTGGCTTTGGCTTTTAATTCGAACGATTGCAAGTCAACTTCCATAGCTATTCGTATATTCACTTTTAATTAATTATTCGTTCTTGCGATAAGTTTCCGAACCTCTAATATTGCGTTAATTCACATACCCGTAGTTTGGCACTGCATTATTTAGTCACCCGGATCTCCTGCCCTCCCTTCCAGAAACCATTCGCGCCGTGCAACAACTCTCCAGCGGGTAATCACCAGGCTCCGACGTAATCTCCCGCCCCAAAATTCCCACGGAGACGAAAGAGCAGCACCGCTGGGTGGACGTATTACCGCCTCGTCATCTTCAAGATGAGGCGTCGCCTGCAACTCCGCCGGAGGCCACACAGTAAGCCACCACCGGGTAAGTTGAATACTGTTCTGTTGAAGTTGCCCGCTCACTATTTGCACTTCAGCAATCAGCTGACCCAGCGCCTGCAAGACCTCTAAGCTCCAGACGAAAACACCTTCGCGAAGACTCGATGGTGTCAAGTGTATCCTCCTTTCCAGAAAACATTCGCGCCGTGCAACAACTCTCCAGCGGGAAATCACCAGGCTCCGATAATGTCCCACCTTAAATCTTCAGTCACGGCGGCCACCAACTGATGGACTAACTCACGACTCTTTTCCAGGAGGTGCGGTGACAAGGACAGGTCCCGCAGAACTTCAAGAAAGCGACCTTTACAAACTCAAAGGGAACCAGTAACTCTGTGATAACCTCAGAAGCATTTCGCTACTCAGAATCTTCCGGGAAGGTTTTCGTTCATCTCCTCAGTCGTCGCAATGGCCACCTCATGCAAGGACTGTTGCCGAAAAGCCAATGTGGCTTCCGTCGATCCCGCGGAACCACCGACATGGTCTTTGTCGCTCGCCAGCTACGGGGGAAGTGCCAGGAGATGCGGACCCCATCTGTACACTATCTTCATGAACTTAACGAAAGCCTTTGACGGGGATGGCTACTTTAAATGCGGGAGTCTCTCGCTCTCTTCCTGCAAACGCCTTATCTGCTCAGCTTACTACTACCAAAATATTTATTTTTTGAAAGAACCTTGGAAAACTTTTTAGAGTGCCTGGGTGCAGAAACTAGCGGCAACCTTATCCAAATTGCGCAGATGAATCCTGCAAAATCGCGGAAACCGAATTGAAAGATTTGTTATAATTTGCATTTATTTTGTACAAAACGTGATTCCTTCAGATGACTGACGGAGCATGTCATACGCATTATTTGAATAAACGAAGGATAAAATAAACTGACTGAACTATCTTTATTGCCTGCAGTAATAGCGTTGGATTCGCTATGCCGCAATTCTGGGCATCACTATCACAATCCGCAAGCAGTCAAAACATTCGCCTAGAACACAGAGGGCTGAAAAACTGTTTTTATGAACTCTGGTCAATACCTAATGGATGTTAAGACAACTAGATACACGTTTATTTGTAGGGATATGTTATCTCCATACGAAGATAACCGAATCAGTACCGAGATGGCATTTCGACCGTCGATTATGACCATTTACACCGTGTGTCCCATAGCGTGGTGTGCGCGGGGTTCTTGACTTTCACATGGATTAATTCATAGCGGTGGTAGCGGTGATTTGCGTAGCATCTACCGCATTCCCTCCTCCCTCATAAACCTGGGGCCGGTGTCAGGAAGGCGTCATGAAGACCGGAGGCGAGATCTTGATAAACTGAAGCAATGCCTTCCAGGAATAAATTTTAACAACACAAAGGCGACGAAACGTGCAGAATTTAATGACGTCATAAAATCTCATAACCTCCGAGTCAACTATACATGGTCATTGCGTATTTATAAGATAAGACAAACTGTTCAATTACCGATCAACCTAGGGGGTTTAAAGGTGATAGGTAAGTAAAAAATGGACTGTTGGTCTGCTGTGCGAGCAAGCACAGCGAGGGGGAGGGAGTTATCTAAGCAAGCGAGTTCAGATTACAGTGAAAACCTGTTGAGTGTGTTTAAAACTGCAACGCGCTGGGCAGTGGTCAGCCAACTAAAGACATTCTGACTATGAACGCCACATCAAACTGTATTTATGAGGTTACATGTAGTTGCGGACCAAATACAGTGGGCGCACGCAAAGACGGCTGGCAGTTCGGTCAGCTGGACGCATGCAGAAGTTGCTGGAAAGGGCGGAAAATAAGGTCTCCCAGAGTTCAATTACGAAGCACCTAGTGGATATGGATCATATTGTGGACCCAATGACTGCATTTACGGTCCTTCTACGGACGACAACTGAGAGTCATCTTCACTTTGCAGAGGCCGCTGCAATACGGAGGAGAAAAATCAGGGCTCTGTAAGCAACTGGATCACGGGATCAACCTCGCACTGCCATGTTAAGGATCGATAATGGAATTAATCCTATTCCCACATCTACCCTCTCACTTTCCCTCGTCCCCTCTGCATGGCTCACTGCTGTCCGCGCGTTGCAATTTTAATCACATCCGACAAGTTTTTCACTGTAATCTGAACTCGACTGCTTAGATAACTCTCTCCCCCTCGCCACGCCCGGTCGCATACCAGACCAACAGTCCATGTTTTACTTACCTTTCACCTTTGAACCCCCTAGGTCGATCTCTGATTGAGCAGTTTGTCTTATCATATTAATACACAATGGCCATATACAATTGAATAAGAGGTTACGAGATTTTATGACGTCATCAAATTCTGCATGTTTCGTCGTCTTTGCCTTGTTCAGTTCGGATAAATCATTTCCTGCAGTCAGAGAGGAAGCTTAGGGCAGTGTTAACTATTAAGCAGCTACTCATGTCCGGTGGCTCTCCGTGTAGCCATTAGTGTGAATGAGGCTCAGTGCACTCGGAAAAAACATTATACATTTCTAATCTAGTATAGAACGCACGGTATTGGCTCGCATATATTATCGTAACTTTTATTTTACTGATGCTTGCGGATGTATTCCGAGTTCTTTTTAATAGGAAATAGTCACAGAATATGTTGCATGGGAAAATTTTGATGTTTATCCATGGCCCAGCCGCAAAACTTGATATTCGGCGGCGGTTCAGCCTCAGTAATAGTCCAAGAACCCAAAGAACGCTCGGGCCTGTTTGCATCATCCAGCAAGACCACTTCCGATTGTAACTAACAGTTTTTATAATATTTTGAACGTAATCAGTGAAGACGACTAGTGACACAGAAAAATAACTTGAAATTTCAGTTGGCGGTAAAGTTTCACTGTCGGTTTTAAGTGGCTACAACGAGGGCTCAGTTTTACTTATGTAAAAGCGAATTCGTTATTATAACAAATCGACCTGGTCGGCCACTGGCGAATCCACCGTTCAGTTACTGGGCAACCAGTGCCTGCAGCACCAACCTACACTTGCCGCATCCGCCTCAACTGCCCTCACTGTTCCCGCACACTCAGCCCCCGCGTGCCCCCCCCTCCCCCGAGGTAATTGCGCTTACATGAGGGCCTGTGGTAGACAACCACCGACTACACCACCATATCACCGCACCTTCCGCCACCAGCATCTGCACCATACAACGCAAAGCACTCAACTGCCACCTCTCGCTTAAGTGGGAAGTGTGCCCCTCGGCTCCCCCCACATGTGGTTCCTCTGGCGGACGTGTGATTCGAGTCAGAGACTATCACGATGCGCCAAGCGCCGTGGCTTGGAAGGCTGCCGACTGACACCCCAACTCAGTCCACGCAGTCTGCACAGTTCTATGTGTTTGTATGAAGTGGCGAACTGACGGGTTGGTGGTTAGACCGCAACATGACCTCTAGCACTCTCACGCATGTGAGGAGTGTGTGTGGGTGTATATATGTTTAGTGCCCCTCAGTCGATGACTGACTGGTTACCCTGTCTTTGAAGGTTGATGGCCCAGGCTAAGTGCAGGGCTGCTTCTCACCCTACTGGGCTTTAAGGAGTGTGTGCGTCTGCTGTGCCATGATTCAGCAAACCATGGCCCTCGCAACCTGGTGTGCTCTGGCAGTTCTCAGGCATTTGGTTCCCTACTAGTAGATATGCTTGCGTTTCTGCTGGGTATGCACGTCATGTGCATAGTTGTCCAGTCGTCCTCCTATTTCTGACTCGTTATTTTGCTGTTGCTGGCTAAAATCCTGGTCAGGTGTATATTTTGTACTAGGGGGTGTGGTGGTACGCCTAGTTACAGGTGCGACCGTGTCGTCCACTTGACACCTCTCCTACCTCCGGTCATCTTGACCATGTCTTGACACTGGGTTCAAGCGGGAAGAGGAGATAGTGAGGAAAGTGCTGCGCAAGTCACCGCACCTGCTTCACCTTGCTGTGGAGCACACGGTAGACATCGTCGGCATCGACAGTTGAGCTGTCATATTATAACAGGAAAAGCAGCATGTGAATACTAATAAGGCACGGTCAAATTTCCCGCCCACACGAAGGTTAACATTTGTTAACTTCATACTACGCCTTCTCATAAGTTTGGCGTTTGTCTTCTCCCATCTCAGTGAGTATACTAACAGAGCTTGTCAACAAGTATTGACTTCAATTTAAGGTTTCCTCGATCTGCCATTTAAAGGTGTAATTTTGTAGTCGTTATCATATGCTATTGTGACGTTAAATTTTCATCATCTACACAGATAAGACATCTGAGGCTTGAATACGAAGGGGGTCGCTGAACCGTCTCTTCCTGCCCCCATCCCTACCAGTAACTATGTTGGTAACCCACAGTCGCTTCGAATTTTGCTTTCAAGTTATAAAGACTTACTGTTCCGCCTTCAGTACTTGTAGTCACTGTGTTCAGGAAGAGAGATGACGAGAATTCAAGTGACACTGAGCTTTCTCCTTACGCTAGAAATGACGGCCAATACAACGCACTTTATAAATTCGAATTTCACACAGTCCGAAAACGAATCGAAGCCCCGATTCTCAGAATTCGCGACCATCATCGACTATCGACACGCTTGCCACATGTGCAAATACCCTGAATTTGCCTCTTTTCTATTTCCATGTTATGTCGTTTCCTACTTGCACCCGGTCAGGGGATATTGTACACAGCCTGGAGTGTTTCGGATGGTAAAAAGCCTTCCAACCATTGGACAGAGTTCGCCGGTGAAGTTAAGGGGGCGTTGTGATCGACAGCTGCATTTCTGCCTGCTTCGTGTTAGTAAAATCGTTAAAAGTCTTCATCCTTGTTTCCCCTCCTACAACATTTTCGCGACTGCTCGGCACGCGTCCTTAGGTCAAGGGTTATGGGGCAGTCTGAAACAAAAGTGCATTTCAAGAAGACCGATTGCAGCCGAATCTGTCTGCTTAAATACTTCGTACTTTTGAATCTACGGTAGCTGTTCTTTTAAGAAATTTTAATTTGGAATTTAACTGCTTTTCTCTTTCGGCTAAGAACCTATTCTTACTTGAAAGGTACACACAGATTACTTGTGGTACTATTGTTCCACAATTTCGTTTTTGGTGATTAATCTCTCTGATAGGTCTGCATTTTTGGTGGCACTTAAGACATTCATGGACTAAGCGTTCTAACTATCCCGACAAATTCCTTTGCTGATCTCTTTCTTTTGGAATTTGTCGACCACTTACACGGACTTTACTTTCGGAACAATAGCAAAAGTTCCAGGAGTTATGATGAGGGCAGTGCACATGTGGCTGCTATAACCCTTTCCGGATTTTGCGGTTATTTATCGGAACAACAGCCCTTTTTTGCCTGTAAGTGGTTATTTTGGTTGCAAAATGAGTCCTAATTCTTGAAATGTTGATATAGGCATTAAGGCATGCCAGTATAAATTTAGTTATACGCTGTTTGATTACTCAAGGGTAAAGATGTGATATCAGCTCAGTAGATATTTTGTGGCAATCTGGTTTGAAAGTAGGGAAAATTCTGTCTGTTACACATTCAAAGCACTTACCCTTCAGTGGAGTATCGATGGTTATGAGAAATCAATCAGTCTGAATAAATTCGACAAGCCAACAGCTAGTTCTCATTTCGTACGTCTTAGCCCGTTTGACCCTGTTAAAATATTATTTGTAGCTAATGATATACTTCAGCATTGAAAGGAGTGGCACTGTATATAACCGCTGGATGGTTTTCGTGTTTTATAATGTCTCACTTTAAAGCGCCATCGCCACCTACCAAACTAATCGTTGTATAAATATACCGAATCGGACCGCTAATTTGTGAAAAAAAAACAGTAATTTAATTTTCTCATAAAATTATGCTCCACTTATACTTAGATTTTCCTGGGAAATCCAACAAAACGCCTCTAAGAATCTAGTGTTAGATAGTACATTGTCATTAGCTAATCATAATCGCCTCGCGGAAACTCAGCGATCTTTGAGTCGCGGCCTCGCATCGGAATTTACGGACTCGGCCTTATTCGGACTCTGATTCATTAATCTCACGGTATTCCCTCCCACAAAACTTCTTGAATATTACCGATTGAAGTAGCCAAATTCTAATAAGTGTTATGACACAGTTCTACCTTTGACCCTAGGAAATGTATCGCAACGATTTTGTAAAAAGTGCATATTTAATTGCTTATGATCTCCTCTGTTAGTTGTGCTTGATTCCTCCAAGACTGCCAGTTAAAATTAGAGAACTCTCTTCTCAAGTTAAACTGGAATGCATAGTGGCAACTCTACCCTCACGCCTCCGTGTTAATTCGTCGTCGAACACCTCCTGAAACTAGAATAGGTGGGCATAGATACTCACAAGGTCTTCGGCTTGCTTCAAGCATGATGAGAGCGCTCATCATGTACCACTCATACAAGTGGATGCATATACGAATTTAGTGCTACTTTTTATGTCAGAACCATGTTTTCGTGATTTCAGCCACATTAAAAAAGGTTTGCTCTACCGTGGTTTGGCACACTTGGCGGTGTCAAAAATGCAACTTCCTTGTCTAGACGGGTGCATTCCACTTCCAAGTTTTGAGGCATGAAAGTGATTTCCCAGACCAACACTGTCAGCGAAACGTCGCATGGGCGATGTACGCAGTTATTCGGGGAAATTAATGGTGAGTTCATCCATGTGCGGTGCTAAAGTCTACCAGAAGAAATGACCCAATTATCATTCTTCAGAATTCTCACGTCAAGCGCTATAGGCGGATACTGCGAAAAACGGTATTTCAGCATGATATGAGATAGGCTCCGTGCATTCTACAGACTGACAAAGACCCACTCACTCATGTACGCATTCAGAGCCGAAACCGGCATTCAGTCAGTTGCTTGGTACGGCCTAGATCACTATGCTCAAAAACTAGACCCATATTACACTTCTTTGAGTCATTTCGATATCGCCTTCATAAATCCCGTATAAGCAGCTATGGCACATACCGTTCAACAAACCAACCAGAAGTGTACCAAGAGGAGATGGGGATCTAGTTGTTGAATATCAAGGTCCGATATGGTGTTTGCCGGAATGTGGACGGGTAGTCTTCCTCTTTTGGAAAGAACCTAGGATTATTTCACTTTCTGTCATGGCTACACCTCCAGGAGGCAACAAATAAACATCGGAGTCGTCAGAGCCATCTGTTAGTCCCTGTGAATCGAATCCTAGATCTGGGTATTTAGATAATAATTCGTGAATCTTTTGGGAGGGAAGGTATCTGAGGTATTCCAGGTCATTTGGTTCTTTAGCAGCCCTCTGAATGCACGCCCTCAATGGAGAATTTTGATGAATATACGTTTGTTCCAGTGGCAGTTTATCAAGCTTTTGCTGGTCTTCCCAAGATTTCATCGATTTCTCCCATTAGCATACTTGGAATCCTCTCCATTTCTTTTTCGAGGTCATCTGGTGATAAAAGCCTTTTAGACAGTCCGTGAACGGCTTCTTCACTTTTAAATGAGGAACGCAAATATTAAAGTTTATGCACGTTCCGATCAGGTTTGCTTCCGTTATTGCCTTATTCGACTGTCCTGTTTAGCACACTGCTTGATAAATTGTCCAGAAATTGAATAATTTTTTACATTTTTCCGGAGCAGGCAAACTTGCGGATGGATCTGATTAAATTTTTGGGACATCGAAATATGGTTGGCCTGGTCCCAAATATATAATTAAGATAGTAATCTTAAAATTTCAACTGGACAATCCATTCAACCGCAGTTTCATAAAAATATCAGTGCTATCCCATGAGAACGCATTCAATGTTCTTTATTAGGACCCTTTCTGGTTTAAGGTGAATCCTGATTAAAAACGACCATGTACTTATAAACTAATCCAACAACCTTGAACAGTGGTCATTCCGAGCATACGTAGTAGTTGACATATTTCGACAAACCATAAATCGAACTCTAGCGCAATGTCTTGACTTTTTGTCGATATAATGGTTTTAAAATAGCTCAAGGTCTGCGTACTACTACTACTACTACTACCACTACTACTCCACATTGGCTTTTTTAATTTATTATTCAGTAAACTGACCTTCATTCACAAAATCTTGTGTTCACATCCATAACGCTAGCTCCATGGTATTCCTTACTGTAGACTCACGGTTTGCTATCAGTCCTACGATTCTTTGTAACAAGTCCAACAAACCCACTGACGTGGACTTTAGAATCAGAATCGAACTAATGATGAAAACGAGGAGTTGCACTTTTGTGATGACAGGTGGAATGAAGACAAAGATGAGGGTAGGCTGGCACAGAACTACTTCTGACTTATTCTGTCTTTATTTAGCTAATAATGCCTGACCACCATCTGGAATCAACAGCTCGACTGACATTCCCCCTTTTGTTATCGTTACCTGTCTGGGCCCGGCTTAGAAGGTGGTCGTCTTTTCGTGATCTCCACTACCCATTTGGAGTCGGGTTGCTTCAAAAAACCAATGGATTAGTGCGCTCCAGTACCCGCATTTTAAACTACTGCTACCATATTCCGAATTTCAGACAATCTGCGTTATTTCTCGTGTTGAATGTGAGCTCTTACACTGTATGTGTTACCCGTGCAGTATTTTGTCGTTAGAAAACAGTTTAATTTTATAGATATATATATATATATTGACCCAAATGTGGAAAACTCGGCACCCTGGTGGGATTCGAAACCACGACAACAAGGGAAAGGCTTTGGTACAGACAGCGCTCTAGCCACCTGAGCTGCGATGCCCAACCGGACGACGTGAATTTAATCACATTCCGGAATCCACCTAACCTGATGTCTTCTAAATGATTTACAGTAGGTGGACTAACTCATGAAATGTCAACCGAAATTCCGAAATGCGTTTCCGATTCGAAAAGATTAATTAAGTACGGTTGTAAAACTAGTTAGCCTGCAACATAATTCTATAATATTTCAGTTACCTCAGGACGCCGGCTTTTGAAAGAACTTCCTTCTGGCTGCATTCATAAACTACACTCTGTAAAAAATGACTACTTAGGTAGCATGAATTTTCCTCATTGATTTTCGATGCCCCTGAAAGTCCAATTACATTTCATGAAAAACATGCATAAAAATATTCATTGTCTTGCTCATTCGGTAGATAATTACTTCTTCTTTCAAATTTATACTCGAAGGAATGGTATTATTCGGTTTTAAAAAAGTTTCTAATTGTGGGACTTTTAAATAACGGGAAATGGTCACTCAAAAATCTTCATGTCTGTGCATTTACCAATGTGGCTTGTAAAGTTAACAATATGGCTCAAATCCATTGTTAAATTGTATGAAAACTATATAGTCCATTTCTATTACCATATAAAAATGTGTGGTTCGACGTACGCGGAGAATATACGGCTTGTAGTTTGGAAACCCTGAATCCAAGTGTACCGGTAGAGCGGGATCGAAATTATTCGCGAATTGGAAGTTTTTGTAAATCGAATTATGCCATTCCGTCAAGTACAAAATTGAAAGAAGAAGTAATTATCTGCCGAATGAGCAAAAAATGCACAATTTTATGTATGTTTTTCATGAAATATAATTGGACTTTTAGGGGCATTGAAAATCAATGAGAAAAATTCATGCTACCTAAGTAGTCATTTTTTACAGAGTGTAGTTTATGAATGCAGCCAGAATGAAGTTCTTTCAAAAGCCGGCATCCTGAGGTAACTGAAATATTATAGAATTATGTTGCAGGCTAACTAGTTTTACAACCGTACTTAATTAATCTTTTCGAATCGAAAACGCATTTCAGAATTTCGGTTGACATTTCATGAGTTAACCCACGTACTGTACTTAGAAAATCCTGCTTGAGCAGTCAGCTTACTGTAATAGACTTGGTGAATTCTAGAAGTTGCAGTAGGCTGGGCAGGCAACCTGACGAAATGTGATTGAACTCACGCCTCCCCGTAGGGACTCATAGCTCAGGTGGCTAGAGCGCTGTCTGTACCAAAGCCTTTCCCTTGCTGTCGTGGGTTCGAATTCCACCGAGGCGCTGAGTTTTCCACAATCGGGTCAATATTAATTATTCAAAAATTTGCCAAAACATCTTCTAATGATGTTGTCATAAAAACTCCAACCATTCCAACTCCAACCAGTCGCAAGCCCACGACGAAACTTCCTACAGTAGCCCAAGTTCGAAAGTCGTGAATATTTCAGAAATGTTCGCCATGAGTCCAACTAGTGCAACAAACTTCCCAGTTTTAACTGTTTTCCTTTACCAGAACAAAGGTAAATTTTGAACATAGCCTTTGAGTCAGAAATATTATTCCGAAT